CACTTTGTCATTGTTCTCACCACTTTGTTTTTCGTTCTTTCCTGATATTCAATGTTTTTGTCTCGATCTTTCAATTCATTCTTAAGCTTCTTATCACTTAAATTTCCGATTGCATGTTGTAAAACACCAGCAAGTTGCTTTATCTAAATTTTGTCACTTTATTCTAAAATTGTATCATGACTTCATCCTAGCAAAAAAAAATACAAGCACGTAAACACCTAGAAATTATAACAAAAACATAAATAAATCAATACACGTACGTATGGCCATCATTTTTAAAATAGGTCTATAATGGCAAGCTCGCAAAACTAAAAGGGATAGAAGCTGTAGAAAACTCAGTTGATAAAAATCGACCATTTGGAGGAATGTTTTCGTTGTCCTGGATCCTGAAAAAAAAATCGAAATCGTGAGTAGTGAGTATTAAAAAATATGACATAAAACTATTCATACTAATTATTTATGACTTGGGAGCAGAAACTCTTGTTGCAATATTTACATTACAGTCCGGATAATTAGATAATGATGTAACTAAGTTTAGGACGTCCATCTTGTTTTTTTGGAAGCGTTTAAGGCGTGAAGTCTGTATGGGCCTTCTGAAATTTCCATGTGCTAAGTATTATTTCATAATTATTAGAATGGTTTGATGCCTTGGCATCTACTTTAATTATTCCAAAGTTGATTCGGATTTTATTTTCCAGTCTGTGAATGTGATTCGATCCAATTAGCGAGAAGATTCTTTCATAAAACTTGAATATTGAAGAAAACTGGTATGTAATAAAATTTCGTTCTCTTGTTGCATGCAGTTCAATGTTGGATTTATATTTACGAAATAATAATTAAAAGAATGTTAATATATTTGTATTTTTTTAGATAATCACTAAGCATCAATGTTTACTTACAAGTCTAAAAGAATTTTCTCACAGTATTAACTGAAAAGTAATTTTTTGCAGATCTGATCCGAGTTCCGACAGATCGAATTTGAATTCATGATCTTTAAAATCCACCGAATTCTATTTAAACACGGTATACTTGTACTCGATCTGAATTTTCTGATCGAATCCAGATCTTTGAAAATATCTGTCCGATTGATCCGTGTGAAACACTGCTGAAAAAATCAGAGGTTTCAATCAGAACTGCTTTAAACCCCTTTACATCTTCCTTAAGAGCGGTATTTAATTTGTACGTCCAAACTGTAGGGCCTGATCTGTTTCATAAACTGGAAAGAGCTTTTTTGAAACTTCTTTTCCTATTTCAAGTTTCAATTCTGTCATTGCGAAAACACATACTACAGAGATTTTTCTTGAATAACTAGAGAAATGTACGAATTTAAATTTATTAAACAATGCGAAAAGGCGACTTACTGTTGAAGTTCATTATTGTTTAGAAATCTTTTAACAGGCACAACCATTTGTTTAAAGGTCAGAAAGCCTTCAGTGAAGATTTTGCCTTCTTAAATCATCGTCATAATTTATTCAATTGGTTGAATAAAAATATTGTGTATATACTTATATATTTGACCACAAAATAACTAGAATTAACTTATAATTTTCTTTGTCAGAATATTAGAATTTGTGTCCATTTCCGTATAACACACATTCTTTCTGTCCTAAGGACGTCTTTACTCTTACTTTATTTAATTTCTTTTCTTATTTGTGATTTTCTTCTGGAATTTAATCCTAATAATATAAAAAACAGCTAAGAGTTAATCTTCCAGACTAGCAGTCCCGCTTGCACTATGTGCCGAACAAGAAGTTCATCACTAAGGGCTAACAGACCTAGCTTGCGCAAGTGCCGAACAAGCAGTTCATAACTGTTCGATTGACCCTCACCTTAATTTCCTCACTAACAACCACGTGGCTGGATTATTTCGCTAATAATATAAAAATAAAATAACTAAGAGTTAATTAATTTTCAGACTAACTATTCTAGTTTACACTAAGTTCGAGCAAGCAGAAATAACGCACATGATCTCGAAATAACGCGCAAGATTATATTATTTCATAAGCATTAAGAGAACATTTCACTACAAATAGTTCCAATAGCTTTAGCATTCGTTTTTCATTAAGCATATAAAATTAAATAAAATTTTATATTATAAATCACAAAAGAATACAACTTTTAGAATAGTATTTGTATCATTAGAAATGCACAAACGCGTAAATGTGCATATTTTTATTACACTAAATTACACATGTTACGAAATTCTTTCGTGATATTTTATTATTAGTATGATAGCATAATTTTCCTTTTAATTAAAGTATTTAATTTGTATTTTTCGCATCCATTACTACATTTTCTTATAGATAATTCTGCTGATTTGAGGAATTTGACAAATCTCCATCTATATCTGCATCAAATAGGTCCAATTTTTTTTTAAAAAAATAATTGGAGTTTTGGATAAAGTCAAATTCCAAAAATCAGCTGAATTGAAATTATTGCGTAATGATTTCTTTCCTTTTTAGCGTTATTAAAAAAGCTATATAAAGAATTGTTTACCACTATGCAGAATCATTAGTCACTGATGTCGGTTTCATTACGGCGCATTTGTGAAATTGGGAGATGTTTTGGTCACCAAATCTAAATATTTGGTCCCCAGATCTGAGTATTC